ATATATTTACAGTAGGACATTTACAAAATATCTTCATGGAACATGATCTTTACTTAATATCCTAATGATTTTTGGAATAAAAGGAAAATCAATCATTTTGACCCATACAATGTATTTTTGGCTATTGCTACAAATATACCCCAGCGACTTAAAACTGCTTTTGTGCTCCAGGGTCACATATAATTTTTTTGGGAATATTTGTAAAAAAAATATTGGTCTAATCTCTAACTTTAAGCAGTAGTAACAGAGTAATAGAGACTGAGTAAATAATAAAAAACAATAAAGTCTCTGTGATAATCTGGTCCCTTGATACAACAATGATATATGAAAGCAACAATAAATAAATGAATGAAAAAGAAATTATTTGTCTAATCTCTAAGCTTAAGTAACTATGGGCAATAATAATAGAGTGATAGTGATTGAATCAATAATAAAGTAGATCTAATACTAATAAAGAAGAGAAAAACGTAGTAAACTTTTAAGAAGTTTGGGTTCATGACATTTTTTAAAGAAATTAATATTTTAATTCATTGCACTGAGTTGATTAAAAGTAACAGTAAAAACATGTATAGTGGTATAAAATATTTATTTTTTAATTAAATGCTGTTCATGGCTCACCACAAAAATATTAAAGAAATGACTCATGTGCACCAAGTGTCCGCGTATTAAACTGATTTCTGAAGGATTTCTGAAAATTCAACTTTGCATCACAGGAATAAATGGTATTTTAAAGTATATTCAATTATTTGAAATTGAACTAATATTTCACAATATTCCAGATGTTACTGTATTTTTGATCAAATAAATGCAGACTTATTGAGCGTAAGAGGCTTCTTTCAAAAGCATTAAAAATCTTACCGACCCCAAGCCTTTGAACATTAAGTGTATCATAAAAGAATATTTTACAGCCTGCCGTCGTACAGCAAAGAACTTCAAGCCGTTTCAACCTTTAACACTGTGATTTGACGTAACTTCCAGCAGCTGCAGAGAAGTTCAGGTTATGGGTTAATTAAACAGAGTCTGGGATTATTTAAAGTAAAATCCTGCAGAGAGAAAGAGACTCAAGAGACGATCAAGGGCACCTTCATCCGCTCTGGTCACACACATCCTGACCGCTTCACACAGTCACACATCTGCTCTGTGCAAATCACTGTCTACACTGACAATCACTGCAGCCGAAACAGCCTGAATATAACACTACACTGACGATCCTCAGAGCTGAACAACAGGAAGAGATTTCTTAATGGATTTTTAACCACTAATGAGCATGTAAAAATAATGGAAATGAAGATCAAGCAGTAAACCGCTGTATGCATGTCAGTCACTGATGGATGTGGATGGAGCGTTTTACCCGCTGGTGTGGCAGTGGAGGAGGGGGCGTGGTCGGACTGGCCAGGTCTGAATTGTCCATCAAGTTTCCATAGTCGCCCATGCTGCACTTGACAGGAAGTGGGGGCGGAGTCTCACCCTTATCTCCATAACCCGTCCCATTCAGCTCTAGACCTGCATTGAAACAAGATAGAGCGCTGTTGAGATCAACATGATGATGCATGACATTTTCACCTGTGCCTAAAACTCAATATAAATCAGTAGTTTTAGGAGGCCTGCGCAGTGATTCCAGCACAGATGACGACATGCGGTGCAAACTCAGAATCAGACAGCGGGCTGAACCCATGGGAGAGTAAACGCCTCGCACTAGAGACTGAATCCATTACACGTCTTCACAAGCGGCGAGTGGGAGACTAGATCAGACACGCTTAGTTATTTCACAGCTCTGCAGCCTCCCAGAGTCCTGCGTTCCACATCACAGCGTTACGTTTGTGTGTCATCACACTACAGCTTGAGACGGAGCACAAGACGTCAGCAAACGTCTCATATTTTGAGGGTGTGGTGGTTTAAGCTTGGAGAAAGTTTGGTTGTATTTAAATTCACCGGCTGTTACAGGACAGATACAAATGAAACATTCAAAAACATATGATCATAAATACAATATCATCAAAATTCAATTTAGATAAAAGGCAAGATGGAGTACAATTCTACAAAAAAGATTCTTTAAACTGTAAACATTTTCCTGGATAAATAAATCCTTAAAAGTTTGTCCTGATAAAAATTGCTGTCTCATAACATAAAAAATTGAGCTGACCAAAAGTACATGTTTTATAGCTTAGTTGGTAATGTGGGAGAAAGAAATTACCACAGCAACTCATTCATTTCAACAAGAAATGAAAAAAAAGGTTATTTATAGAAAAAAAAAAAGGTTATTTATAGAAAGAAAAACACTGTGAAGGGTTTGAATGCTTTTTACACCTCAAATAAAGCCAGAAACTGATATTCTTTTTAAAAGCAAATATTAAAATAATTAGTATGCAAATGACCCTACTGTACAACTACTGCATGCACTACCGTTCAAAAGTTTTGGGGTTGGTAAGATGTTTTTGTAAAGAAATTAATACTTTTATTCAGCAAGGATGCATTAAATTGATTAAAAGAGACAGCAAACATATTTATAATGTTACAAAGATTTTTTAAATAAATACTGTTTGAGCTTTCTATTCACAAAAAACAAATTCAGCATTGCATCACAGGAATAAATGACATTTTAAAATGTATTCAAATAGAAAACAGCTCTTTTGAACTGCAATATTTCACTGTTTTCACTTTGTTTTTAATCAATTTAATTGGTGAGCTTCAGTATCTTCTTTCAAAAACATGAAAATAAAAATATTTTCGACCCCAAACTTTTAAATGAAAATGTAAATCAGACTGAAGGACTTGGATAATTATCAACAACTCTATTTGTTCCAACAGCTAAAATATGATGAATTATGTTGATAAAACAACACCAGAGGACAATATCTGCTGCATTTCAGCAGATCAAAGCCAGTTCTCTTTTATGTATTATTATTTAAAATATGCAGACTGCTGTAGGCACGCAGGTGTTCAGATATCTCCGCGCTGAACGTCTCGTATTTACAGCGGTCTCTTAGCTTCATTCATTCAAATGATGCCAGAATGTCAGCTTTGGATTTTGAGTTATATATTAAAATAGCCTTTTTGTAAATTGATGTTACTATTATACATTTTTCTCCTGTAGGTGGGCGGGGCTTCCTTGGCAACGATCTATCTTAGTTTGCTTTAGTAAATCTGGCCCAATTTCATCATGTTTTGAAATAAAACTGGAGGGGAATCTGTCAGATCGGTGTGAAGTATGACATACTGGATCCAGACAGTAAGCTGAACTGCAGTTTGGCCCGGGGCGTGATGGGAGGTGGGACGCTGGGCGCAGACGGGTTGGCAGGGGCTCCTGGAGACACCGAGAGCCTTTTCTCGCCCAGCAAGCTGATCACCTGACTCTTGGGCCTCTGGGGCCTCAACGGACTGATCTGGGGAGAGGAAAACATGACAGATAAGCATTACAGAGTGAACCATGCTTTCTGGGAAAAGGTTTCCATAAATGAAGACTAAACAGGACGACCGTTCAAAATGTGGCCATGGAAATGGAACATGAAATGGATGGATACAATGATAACGGGGGGAAAATAAGTCAAAGAGTAAAGAACAGCCATTCAAACAGCTCAGGTCCATTTCCATGAGCATACAGGTTTATCTAATGCATAATTCAGCAGGCTTATGAATTATTCCAGTTGTAAATGACCATCATTAATATACGATCAGTAGAATAAACGTCAAAGGCAGGATTCAGGCGGCCAAATAAGCCATTCTGTGTCACCCTGACCTGACGTTTTAACCTGCTCGTTTGCAATACAACATCTACATAGGACATAATGCAAAATTTACATCGATATAGAAGGGAACGCCAGTGCAAATGTAAGCAGGTGTTTTGTGAATCACATGTTTTGCATGTGTTATTTAAAATTAGTCTTTTAATTTTAGATTTTGAATATTATTTGAGTGAAGTAACATTTATGCTACTGTGATAAATGCTGAAACGTGCATTCAAATATAACATCGTCATTTTTAAAAATGTGAAACTTTTATAAACACTTCTGCAGTGTAAACTGCCACTCAAAATCAATGAAATTATAATAAATATTTTTTTAAAATTATATTTTTAACAGGAAGATATTTTTGGCATCAGATAAAAAAAAAAAACGATTGAAACATGATAATAAAATGAATAAAACATTACAAATGAAAAAAAAAATATATAAATATAAAAAAATAATACATAAAATTGAATAATAATTAATTAATAATAACATTAAGATATTTGCATTTTTAATACGTCAGAAATATACTTTGTATATATTTTTTTGCTAAATTAGTCTTTTAATTTTCGATTTTGCACATCATTTGAGTGAAGTAACATTTATGCTACTGTGATAAATGCCGAAACGTGCATTAAAATGTAACATCATAATTTTTTTAAAATGTGAAACTTTTAAACACTTCTGCAGTGTAAACTGTCACTCAGAATCATCAATGAAATTATAATAAATATTTTAAATATTAATATTTTTAACAGGAAGATATTTTTGGCATCAGAAAAAAAAAAAAACGATTGAAACACGATAATAAAATGAATAAAACATTACAAATGAAAAAATAAAATAAAAATAATAATACATAAAATTGAATAATAATTAATTAATAATAACATTAAGATATTTTTAATATGTCAGAAATATACTTTGTATATATTTTTTGCTAAACATTTCTATTTTGTTTTCTCATTAAACAAGTTGTATTGTTAATGAAAAAAATAGTTTTCATTTGCAATAGAAAAATAAAATACAAATATTACAAAACACACACACACACACACACACACACACACACCACACCACACACACACACACACACACACACTCTCTCTCTCTCTCTCTCAGATATAAACATTTTTATTCTTTGTCCTTCATCAGATAAGGACATTAACAATAAAAAAAGAAAGATCATTAAAGATATAAAAAATGAACCAGGCGGGCTTGTTATTTAT